TTCTTTGCAAGCTGGCAGAATCCTTGCAAACAATGTGTTTGCATTGCAAAGAAATTGTTTGTAAGCTTGCGAAGAACTAGTTCGTATAGTCTGGCCAGCCAAACCTTGTGCGCGTCTGGCGACCGACTGAGGACCGGAGCGCGCTCCGCTCTCCGCCGGGCTGCTCCCGGCCCGGCGCCCGGCGGGGCTTCGGCCGCCGAGCCCAGCCGAGCGGGCATTCGGCTCGAGCCCGGCGGGGTGGGGGAAGGCGCGGGGGGAGTAGGGAGGGAGAGGGGGGGGAGCCCCCCACCCCGCCGGGCTCGAGCCGAATGCCCGCTCGGCTGGGCTCGGCGGCCGAAGCCCCGCCGGGCGCCGGGCCGGGAGCAGCCCGGCGGAGAGCGGAGCGCGCTCCGGTCCTCAGTCGGTCGCCAGACGCGCACAAGGTTTGGCTGGCCAGACTATATTACGATGCTTGAAAATTCTTTGCAAGCTGCAAAGAAAATAGTTTGCAATACGAACCTGTTCTTTGCAAGCATTTTGCAGTGTGATGAAGACGACGATGATAGAGATGCTGAGCCGTTGCGGCTGAAACCAGGCGTGCGAGACGATGTTAAGGCATGGGCAGAGCGGTATCAGCACATTCTGGAGACTGTCCCTTTCTTCTCAATGCCGCTGCCCATCCCTACAGGCACCATGAATCTGCTAGCCTCAGCCCAATTTGAGGTGGTCTTAAGAGACGTGGAGACCGGAGCATCAGTAAGTACAGGGACTTGTCATCTTTTCTGCAGCGAGTCCCCGAGACAATCTTAAACCTGTTTCCTTGCTTCGTCCAGGTTCCGATTCAGAGGCACAACTACCCCCCGCCAGTGCCAAAACCCATGAGCGAGTCACTTGAAATGAAGAAGAAAAGAAAAAGATGGCGGCGACCCAAAACAAAGCGACATAACCTGGTTGCGAAACCCTTCCAAATAGAGTTTTTGGAGCTGATATCGGGTATATTTCTGCTGATTGTACTTCCAAAACCCGGACACCGTGGGACCGACTTTCAAGGACACCGTGGGACCACCAGACGTCCGGCAGAGTGGCGCAGTTGGACACGTGAAGCTCCCGGCCTTCTCACCCGACATGCAGCTCGACAACGACCAAGTGGGCGACTTGGCCCATGTGTTGGCTGCATGAGATTAAAAACTAATTTGAATTACACAACTTTGAATATAAACGCAATTCCACGATGCAGCTTTCTGCTTTGTTTTGAGTCCGCGCTACGCTACGCCACCACCTTCTTTTCTTCTTCATGCCAAGCGACTCGCTCATTGTCAAAAACGACGTGCCCAGGCAGCCTTTGAAACCTACCTAGATACTGCGTCGCGGGCATTACTACAGGCCATCAAGAGACACAGAAAGGATGTCCCTGAGAACCTGCAGTTGAACATCGATCAGGCCCTGGACCCAATCAATCCAGACTACCCTGATTGGCTGAGCGATTAGCAAAGCCCATTACTCCACTGACCGGAAAAGTTTCATTCTGTTTATTTATCTGTCTGTCTGTCCGCACGATAACTCGAGAAATATTTGAGAGAGCGATCTGGGAATTTCAGGGTCGTTTTGTATCATAAAAAGACAGATCGAGTTCGAAGATGAGCATTCTAGCTCAAAAATTGAATTTTTAAAAAATCAAAAACCAAAGGTTGAAAATTTTAATTTTTTGCAAATATCTTTTTATGGGCTCCTCAGAGGTAACTCGTCAAAGTAGAGCCCCATGGGCGAAAATTTCGTCCGTTTTGCTCTATCTTGTACCGTTTTGGCGCTATGGGGCATTTCTTGGGCG